CAACTCAAAGCAAAGAATCGGCCGAGAGAGGGCTCGTATCTCAAAAAAAAAACCTCGTTAGTCAGGACACTCGTAAGTCAAGGCCCCACTGTATTTAGTGTAACACTTTACCACACAGCTCTGGAGTCACACAGACCGGGGCGGAAATTCCAGCTCCTGCATTTGCTTAAGTGTGTCACTTTGAATGAGTTACCTAACCTCTCCAAGCTTTATTTTTCTCATTTGTAAATTGGGGATAACAATTAATGGGGTTTTGAAATCTTTAGATATCTTGTAGAGCTTTTGTGCAAGAAGACAGGTAGAAAAGATTCCGGTTTTATGTGAAAAGTAGCATAAACAGGGTTTTGCCCTTCCTAAAGACCAAGAATACCTGAGACTGTGACTCTAACTGTGTGGACCACCAAGTCCCTTGGTATAGATCAGCAAGGGATAGTTGGTAGGGTGAAGTAAGGCTTGTGGTTTTGTCAGCTGATGATGTGGGATTGACACAGGTGTGGCTGCTCCAGATGTGGCTGAGGAAGTGTAGGAACAGTATGGGGTACCAGGCATGACTGATTTGCAGTGAATTTCAGGTGGGTGTTGACACTGGAATAGACTCTCAAAAGTCAACACTTAGAGAGTTTCTAGCCCTAAGAAAGTGGGCAGGCTCTATGCAGCAGAGGGACAGGGCAGGGCCCACAGTGACCGTGCAGGCACTTGATGGCCATGGGATGCCCGCCTTCCTGATGTCTCTCCTTTGTCCATCCCTAAATTATTCCTCAGGGAGGGAGCAGTGGCTGGCTTCTATGCCTCTGTCAAGATGTACTTTTGGGGCCCTGCAGCATGAACACCAACACCTAGGAGATGTGTCTGGCCTTGGAAAGCAGGCACTTGGCTGGCTGGTGAATGAGTCCAGGTCATTGCTCAGCTCACTGAAGAGACTGTTCCCTCAGAGATTTGAGAAGCCCCAGGTCTAGTTCTACCCTGCAGAGCTTGATTGCATGGGGACTGGTGGTGCTGAGGAGGGAGAGTATAGGGGAGCAGGGCTTCGGTCTTGAAGGAAGAAAGGAAGGAGGGATTTCCTACTGATTGCTTAAATGTAGAGGGCTGTTCCTTCTACAGAAGTCTTGAGTCCTGCTCTAGCCCAGCTGGCATGACTCAGTGGATTGAGCGTTGTCCCATGCACCATAGAGGTCACTGGTTCTATTCTTTGTCGGGGCATATGCCCAGGTTGTGGGCTTGATCCACAGTAGAGGGTGTGCAGGAGGCAGCTGATCTATGTTTCTCTATCATCAATGTTTCCTATCTTTTCTCCTCCCTTCCTCTTTCTATAAAAAATCAATAAAAACATACTTTAAAAAGGAGTCCTGCTCTAGTAAGGGTACAGGGGAGTCAGGAAGACATGCCTCCATCTATCCTCCGAATACCCTGTGGGTGCTGCGGACCAGCATTCAAACCAGTTATTTTCAGTACACACAGGAAGGGTTGAGGTTTTAAAAGCAAACAGTGAAACCTAACAAAGCTGTTGTTCGTACAGTTGTCTTATGGAATTGTGAATCTAAATTCTGTTTGGCAGGTGATTTCTACTAACGGCCTTGCTTCTGAGTGCCTGCTTCCAGCAGTTCTCAACCTTCTCTAACCTCGCCAGCTGGGCTGGCTTCCTTGGTGCATGTCCATTGGCCCCATCACACTGTCTTAACCCTGGCTCATCTCCTGTGTCCCTCAGTAGTAGGGTTTCTTGAGGACATTGATTGACAACCCTAGGTCCTCAAAGCCCAGTGCCATGCCAAGCTTATGGTTGGCTCACTGGATGTTTAAAGGAATAGTGGGATATAAGAGAAGCAAGCAGGTACCTGTCTTCCTCCAGCTTTCTCTTGTGAGCTTTACTCTCATTCTTACACCTGTGCATATAGAACCTCCCTATGAAGGTTTTACTGCCGGTTTTGAAGCTTCTCTCTCAAGCTTCTTTCTTTTTCTGTTTGTGTAAACCTGAATCTTCCTCTGCCTCTTCCCACTCTTCCTTCCCTCTTCTTTCCTCCTGCAGTCCATGTACTCCATTGCTTGGCTCTCCCATGGCCCCTTTCCGCTTTAATCCTCATTGCTTCCATCATCAAAACCTCTATCACATTTAAAAAATAAAGTGTTCCTGAACCTAAAGGTATCTGAGTGCCTGCTGTGTTGTGGGCACTTGGGTACATGGACCTGTGTTGGAGGAGGTGGGGCCAGATCTCCAGCCTACCCCTTCCTTTCTCCCAGCATCAGCCTCTTCCGTCACTTGGGGTCTTCACTTTGAACTTATTACTCTTCTTAACCCCCTTTCCCTCCACTGCCTGTGTGATACTGATTTCTTGGTTGGCATTCAAGGCCTTCTGTGACCTTGCTCATTGACCTATCTCTCAGTCATGTCCTGTTGCTCCCTTTTGTGCATACTCCACGTGCCAGCCAAACTGGTACATACCCATTATTTCCTACTTCTTCCTCTGTCATCACATGGCTTCCTGCCAGAATGTCCTCCCCTTCACTTTTCCCCTGTCCGAATCTTTTCCTTATTTGTGATTCAGCTCAAGTGCCCTCTCCTCCAGGGATCTTCCTCTGCTCTTGTTTGGTAAACAGTGAGTGCTGTGGTGCGTCCACCGCTGCAGGGCAGATGCTGTACTGTCCCTGCTCTCCATAGTGTCCCCTCATCTCATTGCCTCCAACAGTACATATCCTTTTTCTTCCCTGCATCCCATGTCCTCTCTTTGCAGATAAGTTGTGTCTAGGTCAAATTCTTTACAGCCACCTTTCTGCCTAGTACAAGGATTCAGCTCGCAGTAGACTCTGAAGGGGTGCTGGCTGAATAATTGAACAAAGTTTCAAGGCTTTGTCTCATTTAATCCTCACAAACAGCCCTTTGACATAGATGTCAATATTATCCATATCTTCCAGAGGAGAAAAACGAGGCTCAAAGACATTGAGCAGTTTGCCCAGGGCCACACAACTAGTAAACCACAGAGCTGGGATTTGTGTGCCCAGGATTTTTCTGCCTTTTAACCATTGCTATGTGACCTCAATGAATGGGGTAGATACAACTCCAGATAGGATGTATAAAACCCATCAGAGGATATAGACTTCTGAAGATGCCACCAATTCAGAAAAAACTCTTTATTTTTTAAATTAATGTGCCCAGTGGGTTTCACTGTACCCTTTACCAGGAATAGCTCACAGGTGGGGTTTCATCCAGATTGGGGAAGATTCGGGGGCTGCGTGGAGGTGTGCAAAGGGTGGGAAATGGGTACATCTGTAATAGTGTCAGCAATAAAAATAAAGTTAAAAACAAAAATTGGGGAGGGAGGGAATGGGGAGAAGCAGCCAGAGAGATAAATTGATCTTTCCAGATTCTCTCGTAGCAGTGACTTCCCAGGAGCTGGCATTTCAAGGCCCCTCCCTCCTGGTAGATGAGACTCTGGGTGTTGGAGAAAGATAGCAAAATTGCCTTTCTGTCTCTGCACTTCTTTAACCTCTTCCCCTACCCACTAAGTACTTAAGGGGTAAATATTGTTAGGTACTACCCTGAGTCCTCTCGGGCCAGAGATTGAATCAGTCCTGTTCAGATGAGACCTGTAAATACTTTAAAGTTCAAAACAAAGAGTTAACGTGATTCAAAAAGACGTTTTTACTGTTGCGGTTGGGGGGAGAGAGAAGCCCTCATAGCCACAGACTGTAAAAGGCTCCAAGCCTTGGCTTCGGGGGACAGTTTTCTTAGCTTACACCCCCCACTTATGACTCCATTTGCAAGGACTTGTTTCTAAGCCTGGATGTTTTACATCCCCATGGCCCTGCCAGGAGTTAGCTGAGGGCCATGGTTTAAACCTGCAAAGGGTATGATTAGAGGCTTTGTGTCTGGAGCAGTCTGTCTTTAGCAAGGAAAGCCGGGAGCTGGCAGATGCCTCCCTGTGTTGAACTGTCTGGATAACTCAAACTCTGGACTAGTAAAGTGATTCAATGAACAGACACTTAAAAAGACCTTTTGTGCCTTGCATTTCATGTAACATAATAATTTAGTTCTCACTACAAACCTATTTTGCAGCCAAGGATACAGACAGTGGAAACAGCTGTAATTTTCCCAAAGATACCTGACTGAGGCATCTCTTAACTGTAGTCTAATGGGGAGAAGAAAGGACTGGTCAAGCTTCAGGACAGAATCCTTAGGATATATTTCCATATTCCTGTTCTTGTGATGTATACTGTGGACAGATAGATAATCAAGATAATCAAGAACTAGAGACCACTTATTAAAGAGGGGAGACTAGTGCTGTGGGAGCCATTTGGTTGGATCCTGACTAGTGGAGGGAGTAGAACATTATGAAGATTTGGTATCAGTGTTAGAGGCACAAGTGGGAGGATCTGCTTGCCTGGTATGGTCATTTCCAAGCTCTGAGTTGGTGGTGGATGGGGTGGGCCTGTCTCAGTTGTAACAAAAACTCAGAGCTTATGATCCAAAATCAGACAATACTCAAAATCACAGACTTAGAGAATGCTACACCCAGAAGGGGCTCAGAGAATCTAAGGTTTTGTTTACTTTTACAGACGGGAAACTGAAGCCAGTGTGGAAGCATCAGGCCTAAGAGAATGGTGTGTTAGCCACAGAATCTAGACAGCTTGCTGGTCTGAGCTGAGCCTATAGGATGGGAAGGGGGTTTAGTAAAAGAAGTTGAATGGAACAGGATCATAGGAGGTCAGGGTAGTGGATTAACGTATGTTTCTGAGAAATTAGCCAGTGTGGAGGGGAGTGGCTAGGAAGCAGTTGGGAGGGTTAGCTAGGCCAAGTCCAGATTTGTAGGATACAGTGACAACAGTGTCTTTGGAGATGGAGGGGAGTCCACAGTGAGGGGAAAATCAATACTGCAGAAGGAGAAGAAAGGATGTCATAGCATGGGGATCCTTTCCCAGCTATGAGATAGGGTCCAGAGCCTGGACAAGGAGCTGCAGATGGTGGTGGTACGAGCTGACAGCTTGCCTTTCCTCACCCGACCCTGTAGGTGATTGCCGTGGTGATGGATGTATTCACAGACATCGACATCTTCAGAGATCTGCAGGAAATATGTCGGAAACAGGGAGTTGCTGTATACATCCTTCTGGACCAAGCTCTACTCTCTCAGTTTTTGGATATGTGTATGGACCTGAAAGTTCATCCTGAACAAGAAAAGGTTTGTGTTACACTGTGTCTGATTTAATCACAATCAAAAATAGGACCTATCTACATAGCGGTCAGCAGTGGTATCCCCCTTATAAGAGAGGGAACTGAGGCCATGAGCAAGGTGATTGATTTGCCTGAAGTCTCACAGAAAAGAAACGACAGTCAGGATTCAAGTCATTGTCCCTCCCTCCCATCATGCTGCCTCCTAACTAGGAGCCTGACTGTTCACGTCAAGAGGCTGCCTTGGATGCTGCTGCTTTTGACTGTAGTGTTGGTAGGTTCTCATTTTAATCATAATGACCACGTTTATGGTGTACTGGGCACTGGCCTGGGCTCTTGACAAATGTTAGTCATTTTAATCCTCACAGAAGCCTTATCGAGTAAGTGGCAGGAAGGGGTGACACAGAGAAACCAGTGTCTACAACTGGAAAGTTAGTGGGACTGGGGTTTGACTCCCCATCTACCATCACTGTCCTGTGGTGTCTCTCATGTCTCATTATAAAATTAGGCCTTTTATGGCCTTTGCTCTGAGCATGACTGTATTTAAATCTAAGGTTAGCCCTGGCTGGTTTGGGTCAGTGGATAGAGAGTCGGCCTGCAGACTGAAGGGTCCCGGGGTGGATTCCTGTCAAGGGCACATGCCTGGGTTGCAGGCTCAATCCCCGATGGGGGGCGTGCAGGAGGCAGCCAATCGATGATTCTCTCTCATCATTGATGTTTCTATCTCTCTCCCTCTCTGAAATCAATACAAATTAAAAAAATTAAAAAAAAATCTAAGGTGGTACAACTTAGCTAGCTTGCTCTCTTTAGTGGAAAGAGGCAAGAAAAATAGTCACATTTATTACACCATTCTTCTTTTATTTTTAATCAACTTAACCTGTGAGCTTCAGAATTTAATTTATCAACTTAGTTCATTGCCTATGTGCACCTACTATGAGCTATTCTAGGTACTGGAAATAAAACATTCAGCAGAATGAACAAAAAAATATGGGTAATTGCATATGGACATACAGTTGCTGCCTTGTTTTTTTTAAAAGGATTGAATCTTTTTAAAAAAATATATTTTATTGATTTTTTACAGAGAGGAAGGAAGAAGGATAGAGAGTTAGAAACATCGATGAGAGAGAAACATCGATCAGTTGCCTCCTGCACACTGCCCACTGGGGATGTGCCTGCAACCAAGGTACATGCCCTTGACCAGAATCCAAACCAGGACCTTTCAGTCTGCTCTATCCACTGAGCCAAACCGGTCAGGGCTGCTGCCTTGTTTTTACCAAGCAATTTGGTTTTGCAAAATTTTAGCTATTTAACGTCCCCCACAGAGTTCTTGTTGGTTGTTTTCCCTAATGAGGAAACCGAGGATTGGGTTTAATTAGGTAATTTTCAACTTGTTAATGCTACAAAGCAAATCATGGTGGAGGTAGGATTGTAGCCTGGAGACCCAAGGAATGAACCAGCCATGTGACCCAACAGTCAAATGAAAAATGAGATCAGGTCAACCCAAGAAATATGCAAATCAGGCATGGAAAAGTAGATTGTCCTGTAGCCAAGTGTTCATCTATGACTGCTCACAGAGAGCCATGTGAGGACATTGAAGGCGTCAGTGTTTAATTTCAAGGCACTCGTTCTGTAATTAAGGTGGTATGTTATCATCAGGAAAATCACAGATTAGATCTGGTCACCACTTTGGTCAAGTGATTGTCTGTGATTCATCTACTTGGCAGAAATCTAGGAGTACTGTCTGCCTACTCAGTTGCCCAGTGCTGGTTGGTGTCTTTATGGTTGTCTTTTATGTCTGCAGGAGGAGTTGAAAGGAGGTCTGTACCTCTGGCCTCCCCAATTTTCATCATATCTTAACTCCTTCCTACTTTCCTAGGGAAGCACCATCTTTGCTGGCTGCTTCTCACACCCGGTGTGTCTATTCTGGTGAACATGTGCCCTCACCAAGTTAGGGCTGCCTTCCTCCCCTACGCCCTGGCTCTACAACTGGTTCAGATGTTGGGTGTCCCGTCTGTAGGAACTTGGTCACACATTTGTGTATAGGCCTTAAAAGTGCTTTGGCCACAATCACAGAGGCCTGTAAAACATTCTGATATAAGGGCCAAAGAGAAAAGATGCACAAAATCAGGCCTAAATTTGCCCATAGTGATATTTTTTATGCTTTTTATTATATGTTGATCCTTTGAAGCTCTGCTTAGGAGTCATTACCTTCTCCAGGAAGCCCTCCCCTGCCACTCCATATGTACCTTTGTGGAAGTTACTAGCTTTTTTAAAAAATTAATTTCCATTTTAAAACAATTTATGATTTACAAAGGAGTCACAAAAACAATATAAGAAACTCATGAATATTTGTAGCCCAAGTTCTCTAAATGTTAACATCTTACAAATCTCAGTACAAATTTGAAAAAATCAAGAAATAAACGATATAATACTATAGGGTCTCCCAAAATTCACACAAGAAGTAATTTTGATAGAAAACAGGTTTATAATTAAAAATTGTAAATTTTTTATTGATTCATAAAGTATACAGTATAGGGTTTTGTATGGAATAGCACATCAGGTAAATGGCCCCCACGGCTTTGCTGGCACATACGCAAAGCTGTGGTATTCACTGGTCTTCATTGTCCCTGTTCCTGGGCCATAATTGGTACTTGGTAATGCTTATCAAATTGAAGGGATTGAAATCAAAGGGCAACAGATATTAGAATCTGATTCAATAAACCAAGTAAAATTAGGCTTTTATTTGTTGTTGTTATTAATGCTCTCGCAAAATTCAAATCTTGCGTGAATTTTGGGACGCCCTATATTATCTGAGCTAAAGATCTCAAAATTCACTAATCATTCCATGGAAGTCCTTTTTCTTGTCTAGGATTCAATCCAGGATCATATCTGGCATATAGTTGTCGTGTCTCCTTTGCTTCTTCTCATCCTGAACTGTTCCTCCTTCTTTGTCTTTTAGGGTCTTGATACTTTTGAAGAACATTAGCCAGTTTTCTGTAGAATTTAGGTTTCTGATGCTTCCTCATGGTTAAATTCAGATCATGCATTTTGGTAAGAATACCATTGAAATGATGTTATGTGTTGCCATAGTTTTCTTTGGTTTGCCTTTTGTTTTTATTTTTGAAGTGATAGATTCCTAGGAATTGCAGATAATACAGAAGTTTCCATGGATCCTTCCCCCAATTTCCCCCAATGGTTATGTAACTTATAGTACAATAGCAAAAGATGGAAATGGACATGGGTACAGTGTGTGTCTATAGTTCTGTGCCATTTTGTCACGTGTACATATGAGCACTACCTCCAAGATATATAGCTATTCTGTACCATTGAGATCTCCCTCATGCTACACCTTTATAGTTACATCCACATCCACTCCCCTCTCTACCGTCCTCCTACCATGTTTAACCCTGGAAATCACTACTTGTTCCCCATCTCTATAATTTTATCATTTAGGGAATGTTACATAAATGGAACCATGTAGTATCTGACCTTTTGATATTGGCTTTTTTCCCTCAGCATAAAGCCCTTGAGATCCATCCAAATTGTTGTGTGTATCCAATAGTTTGTTTCTTTTAATTGCGGAGTAGTATCATGGTATGGTTTTTTAACTGTTCACCCATTGAAAAGCATTAGAATAATTTCCAGTCTTTTATTGTTATGAATATTATGAATGGATATTATGAATATTTGTGTACAGGTTTTTGTGTAGACATAGATTTTTCACTTCTCTGGAGGATTTAGTCTTGCTATAATTTTTTAATCATTCATTACTTTTCTCCTATCTAGTCCTTGCAGGTCAGGAGTGTACCTTATCACAAGAAGCATGCCTTATATCTCTTTTATCTCAAGGTCTGGTACATAGGGGCTTTCTTTGTTTGTAGAGTAAATGAGAGAATCAAACAAAAATCTTAAACATTTAATTTGAATGTGTAAGATTTCTAAAAATATTTAGTTACTGATCTGCCCCAAAGAATGCAGGTTGTCTTAGTAGTTTATATACCATTGTATATACATTTACGTGTGTCATTTTACAAAGATAATTATTCATATACATGCAGTATATAACCCCAGTGTGACTCCATTGTACTTTTCTGGTAAATACATACTTGTAGGAAATATGACATTGCTGATTAAGCCACATGTGATAGGAATGTTTGCTGCCTCAAGTCCTGTATTAGAAAAGGCTCATTGTATGTTCTCTAGACCCATTGTTGTGTGTGGGTGAGGATGGGTTGTTTACTGGTGATTCTATTAGACAAAATTGGAGAAATATCAACTTAGCTTCTTTAAACCTTTGTTACTTATTATTAGTGTGTATCCTTTGATAATTTAATCCCCCATGTTTTATTTAAAAAGTCATTTCCTAGATTCTATCGTTTAGTACCATCAAAAAGTGAGCCCTCTTTTAGAGTACATGTACACATGAACTAAGGGTCTCAAAAATAAAGATAAGAAATGGGCATATGAGAAGCTGGACTAAATATGAAGCAACATTAGTTGAGCTCCTGAATGGGGACTGTGAACCATTCATTGGCCAATGAATTTGTCTGTTTAGGAATTGGAAACTAAGCCCTCTTGTCTTAATCATTTGTTCACTAGATTATTCATTTCTTTTTTCCACACTCTCCTGCCAACAGCTGATGACAGTTCGGACTATTACAGGAAATATCTACTATGCAAGATCAGGAACTAAAATTGTTGGGAAGGTTCATGAAAAGTTCACATTGATTGATGGCATTCGAGTGGCTACAGGCTCCTACAGGTAAGTTTCCCACCTGCCATTGCTTATTAATCTAATTTTTTTAGGAGGAGCATGCTATGTAAAGGAAGAAGCTTCTTCACCCTCCCATCCCCCAACACCAGGCTTTATGGCCAGGCATTCTGAGATGTGTGCATCTGTATGTGAGTAGGTTAATCAATACCTCCTCCTACAGAAGGTAGTTGAGGTTGGGGTCATCTCCCCTGCCCTGTGGTCTACAGAACTGAAGTGCAGAGGTTGAAATTTGTCTGGAGACCCCACGGCGAGCAAATCTTAGATTCAAGCCACAGCTAGGCCCACAGTGGATGAATTAGGAATAACAGTGGCAGGACCAGTCTCAAGTCTGGTTCCTGGGTACTTTGAACACCTTGTCCCTGCTCACTTGGTGGTAAGGGCAGTCTCGGCCATGGGCATCAGAGTAGAGGGCAGAGCTGACGCTGTCAGCTTACACGTAACTCCTTGACCTTGCTTCAAGGCTTGTAATCTTGTGCTTTAGAAAGTACTGATCCATGCTCTGCCTCCACCTTTGAAGTCTCACATTGGCAACGGCATCTTAAGGGAGAGTGCAGAAAAGTTGAATAGAGGGTGGGGGTAATGAATGGTTAACACTAATCTCCAGAAGTTAAGACATGCTGTTTTTTCTCCTGCGGCTTCAATGTTTGGCCAGCTCTGCATTTGATCGTCTGATGGGGTGCATGAGGTGTGTCTGTAGAGTTTAAAAATGAAAAACTCATTTTTGAAGAAACACATTCCTGAGTGATAATTATGTGTCAGCTCTGGGTAAAGGTGGAAAGATTTGTGGACGATGAAGGCGGTAAGATGAAGAAAGCCTTGATGCCTTTCTTCTCAAACAGTCCCTTCAGTGCTGGGGAAAAAGTCACTCTTCCTGAAACTTCCTTTCATAAGAAATTTTTAAATAACTGGAGGAATGTAGATTTTTCACCCAAAGTAGGTTTGATCTGTATTAGCCAGACTTAGCTCAACTGGTTTTTGGCTATTCTAAAATATAAAAACTACCCACTACAGATGCAGTATGCTACCATTGAGGATGAAGATGATAGCTTTCATTTGTTACAGACATTTTTATAATCTGGGATAGATAGGTGATCTCATTGAGGGTTTTCAAAAGACTGTCCTCTCGCAGTGGGGTGATTGCAAGTGCAGAAAGCTAACTCAAACTATGCAGATGGAATTTTTTGACTCCTATGACTTAGAAATGTTGAAAGGTTTTCAGCTCTTTTTGACCTAGAGGCCATCCATTTATCTGAACACTGCCTTCTGGTTCTTCTTTTCTCCAGTTGGTCTTTAGTCTCAGTCAGCTCTCCATTTGAAGGCATAGATGTAGGCTTTCTCATGCGGCCTTTCATAGCTGTCCCCCAAAGAGAGAGACTTTATTTCTCTCAGCACTGCTTTTAATCCTTGAAAAATTACTTGGCCTGAGGTGGGTCACATGTCCACCCTGGGTAGCTCCCCGTATCCAAGGGGATAGGATAGTCTGGCCATCCTGGTAATGTGCTCTTGTAATTGGAGAGGCGCATAAATGAAGACCTTCTTGGCAAGGATAGAGGTGGGTTCTGTCACCAGAGTAAGGAGGAGGATTGCTAGACAGTCAGGGGCACATGGCCTACTCAGCTCTGAATGTGCTTTCAACAACAGCATCATGGTTAGAATAACAGCACTGCACTGGCCATACTTAAGGACTGGGCCTGGTCTTGGGTCCACCACAGTTTCCTTCTATGAAACCACTAGCCGTTTCCTCACTTTGAAAATTAGGGCACTGGCCAAATATTTTAGAAATCCTTTCTAGTTTTTAAAAACTGAGGTTGAGGGTGTGTAGGTTGTAGTGTGTTGGTTAAACAGTTGGTCTTTTAACTTTTATGTTAACCTATATATGTCATATGCCTGTGTTAAGGCTGAATTTAAACTACATGATAAGTATGCTGTCATCAGAGTTATGAATCTGATGTAGCAGGATATCTGGGCTTTATTACTCAGATTGACATAAGAAAAGACTAAAGTTGCTTATTCTTACCAGTGTCTGTTTGTTTTTAATCTTCAAGTTTTACATGGACAGATGGCAAATTAAATAGCAGTAATTTGGTCATTCTGTCCGGCCAAGTGGTTGAACACTTTGATCTGGAGTTCCGAATCCTGTATGCACAATCAAAGCCCATCAGCTCCAAACTCCTGTCCAGCTTCCAGATCAGCGTCAAGTTTGACCATCTAGTTGACCGGAAACCATCGTCCAAGGAGCTCACATTGGGCAATCTGCTGCGGCAGCGGCTGGCTAGGCTCTCAAGCACCCCCGAGAAGGCCGAGCTGCTATGTGGGGCACCCACCAAGGCCAGGGCAGAGGCCAGGCGCCACGACTCTGAGTCTTCCACCATCAGTGAGGAAGACTACTTTAACAGCCACAAGGAAGAACCAGAAGGTGGAAAGGTGACTGATGCCGCCACTCAGACAGAGCCAGGAGAGGAGGTGCCAGTGGTGCGCGTGAGTGACTCGGGAACACAAACCAGCACTGCCATAACTAATGCTGGGACCCAAACA